AGAAACTGAGATTTCTAGTGTAGCCTACTTAAAGAAAGAAACAAAGCTGCCCAAGGGCCGAGAGGTCTCTGTCTGACCCTCATTGAACCCTCACTCTATTTGAACCCACTCACTGGAGGCACAAAAGTTGGCAAGTGCTGTCTGTGGGAATCACATCCCTGACTACACCTACCGCACCCTCCAGCTGTGGCCTGTCCCCAGCCTCCTATCCAAACATTATTTGCAGCCTCCAATTCAACTCTCATTCTCCTCAGTTCCCAAGTCTGGCAGTGATGCTCCAGCCAAATGACAGAATTCACGCGTGGCAACCATTTGCAGCACAAGCTAATGGGCTACTGAGTCAAATAAGTACTGAGGCAGTAAAACATGAGGTCCTGCTACCCTGGTCCCTGGCAATAGCAGAGCCTGGAAAGCAGGACCTTTCTCTCAGAGGCCCCTGAGTTCTTCAACAGTGACCCTGGAGGACCACCCTTAAAATGTCAGTAAATTCCACCTAACCAATCTAGTACCAGGGATGAAGAGACTCAACAGTCACTATAAACCACAGGTAATAATATCAACATTCTGGTGGAAGAAACTCAGAGACAGAATCAGAACTCCTCCCATGAAGGGAAACAGAACAGTATGACAGAAGCAACAGAGACCAAGAGGAGGCAAGAGACCCAACCCCAATCCTCCTGATAAGAATTTAAGGCCACAATTTTTCATTTCAATTTTTTTAACTTTCGTTTTAAGTTTTAAATGTTTATCTTTAATCAGAAAATCTCTGCACCAGATCTGAGGCACTGAGTCCCATGAGTAAAATCAAAAGTGGGCCCATCGTGTTATTTCTGGTCACATGTTACTTTAGCAACACAGGAATAAGTATGAAAAGGCTACTGCTATAGAAACTGCATCTTAAAACAGAACTGGAAGGAAGAAGGGAAACTACACTGACAGGAGAGGGGTGTGGTTGGGCATGGTGCTTTGCCTACAAAAGAATGAAAAATGGGATGGAAAGGACTTTTAAAAGATATCTTTCTGTTGTGGTACGAATGTTTATGTCCCCCTTAAAATTCTGATGTTGAAATCCTAACCCCTGAGATGATGGTATTAGGAGGTGGGGCCTTTGAGAGGTGATAAGGCCATGAAGATAGAGCCCTTACGAATGGGATTAGTGCCCCTTATAAGAGAGACCCCAGAGAGCTCTCAGCCCCTTTCTTCCACTATGTGAGGACACGGTGAGAAAACAGTTGTCTTTGAACCAGGAGATGGGCCCTCACCAAATCTGCTGGCACCTTGATCTTGGACTTTCCAGGCTCCAGAACTGTGAGAAATAAAATTCTGTTGTTTAACCCACCCAGTGTACTTATAGCAACAGACTAAGACACTTACCTAATGAGGGAAGGTAAATAAGCCGCAAAAAAAAAAAAAGTTGAAAGTATGTGGAACAGGAGTTGCTTGCTTCAAAAATGAAGGCTTTTTTTAAAAAATAAGCAAAGTATGCAGGTGAGACGGAGGGAAAGTCATCTGCTTCTAACAGAAATACATCAAAGCAATTACCTAATTTACACAAGGCATCACTTAGGCTAATGTTCAGCTGCTTCCTGACGAGTGAGGAGCTGGCCAGAGTGCCTGCATTTTCCTTTATTTTTATCACTGGTTTATAATATTCAATTGCTTGCTTCCTTTGAATCTAGAAACGAGAAATCTAATTAAGGCTTTGCATCCAAGAAGCATGGCATTCATCCATTTATCCAACAAACATTCACGGAATGCTGGCACTGGGGCTGCGGTTCAGAAATGAGGAAGACTAACCCTTGCCCTCAGAGAATTTCCCGGGGTAGGAGGAGAGACTGGAGGGTGAAACGGAGGACCAGCCACCTGTGAAGGACACTGAGTGCAAACCTAGGGGTTTGGGACTTTAATATTGAAGAGTTTTCATTAAGACAGTGATGTGATCCAACCTGCGTTTTAGAAAATTCACCTGGGTGCAAGTGCGGAGGATAAACTGAAGCAGGTGAGGCTACGGGAGGGGAGACCACTTGGTCCGGAGGAAGAATGATAAGGGTCTGAGCTAACGCAGTGGCCACAGAGGTGACCGAAGGCCTGCTAAGTCCTGGCGTCACACGGAAGGTGGTGGTCCTGGTGCTGGGAGCGCTGGCATCTGCGCGTGCAGTAGGATGATGAGGTTAGGAGCTTGAGCTCTGAGGTCAAGCGTGCCTGGTAGTGACGCGGTGGTTAGGCACCACGGCTCTGCAATCAAGACTCCCCTGGTGCTAATCCTGGCCTTACCATTTGAAAGCTAGTCAAGCATCCTAATCTCCTAAACCTCGGTTTTCTCGTGTTCAAGATGAGGATGACAGAGCTGTTGTGAGGATTAAATGAGAAAATGTATGGCGTGGGTTTAGCATGGTGACTGATAATAAATACCACGAAAATGTGTCGTTAAAGATGGTGTCTGTACGGAGTGAGATGGGAGAAGATGCATTTTGTCAGGGAGAGGGGTGGATGTTTTCAGGGTTGAGAATGTTGACTCTGAACTGCCCGAACGGAGACGCCCAATAGGCAGATGGATGCACGCGTGTATAGCTGATGATGGAGGTCCGAGAAGGGGACGGAGACGAGACGCCATCACCTTAGGGAACGCTGGCTGAAGCCCCGGGCACGGGTGAGGTCGCGGCCCCGCGGCTGATACATGTAGAGTCCAAGAACTGAACCCAAGAGAGCACCACCATCTGGACAAGAGTCGGGAAGAGGAAAAGGAAACCCATGAAAGAAACCGAGAAGGCATCATCAGAGAAGATGGCCATGAGGGTGGGTAGCTCAGAAACCAGGAGGGCATATCTCAGGAGGGGAGCCATGGATGCTGTCAAAACCTCCAGCAGCAGACGACCAACAAGATCAAAGTGCAAAGAGACACAACGAGGATGTTCCTGATGATGTTCATGGCAGCAGGCGAAACGGAGTTGGGTGGAGGGAGAGGCGAGTGACGTCAGCGGGAAGTGAGGCAATTGAGACACTTGTCTGGAAGGGACACGGATGAAAGGACAGCTGCTGCTGAGTGGATACAAAGTTGAGAGAGAGAGCGATGACATTCACTGATTTCACTGAGAACATATCCCCGTTCCTCTTAAGCCAGTTTGCTCATTCTTCTCTGTCCTGGGGGGAGGGGGCGCCAGGGGGAGGGGGGAGTTGGGGGAGGGTTACTTTTAATTTTGTAATTTGACCTCATGAATCCATCCCTACCTATCCCCACCCTCCAAGGCCCCTTAGGACCCTCTGATCATTTCCCTAGTGCATGAGAGCTGTCTTGAGGGCCCCTGGCCACCAAGACAAAGGATCTCCACATGTTTGAGAGGTGAGTTGAGTGGCACAGCAAAAATCTCCCAGTCTTAACCAATGCGGAAGGTGCGGTCACCTAAGGACAACCTTCAGTAAGGATAAAGGCTTCTCGGTCGTTTCAGAAGGCTGACCGTTGACAATGAGGTCTGGAAAGAAGACTGCCAAGTACGGTCAGCTCCTCTGACACAGAGGCCATGCACGTTGAACGGCGGCAGTGTTAAGTGTCTGGTGAGTCACACGCTGCCCTCCCTGGACTCATGGTGGGGCAGCCCAGGCCGCAGAGATGACTCAGTCAGTAAGCTACGTGTTTAGATTTCTCTTTTATGAGGCAATGGTTCTACTGTCAAGCTTTTTGCTTCTCTAAAGAAGGTCCTGTTCTCTGCTCACAGTGCTGACCTTAAGAGGAACAAAAGTAGGCTTACGTAGTGTCAAGTGCCTCAAAAATTCCCTGCTGGGGAGCAAAATAATAATACTAAGAACTCAATTTATCAATTCAGTGCTCCAGGCGTTCTTCCAAGCCCTTTACATAGAAGATCTCTCAGTTCTCACCATCATCCTGCAAGGAAAACACTACCACCACTCTCGTTTTACCAATGAGGAAACAAATGAGACACCAACATGCTAAGTATGCGCCCAGGTTCTCACCGTTACCAAGCGGCAGAAACAAAATTTGAATCCAGGCAACAGGACCCCAGAGCCCAACATCTCAGCACTACTATAGAGCACTGGTAACTTTACCCTTAGAAACTCCTTTATTGGGGCTACTCTTTTCAAGGTAAATATTCTTCGAAAGGGTTAACACTGATCTGCAGTTCTGCGTTAGAGATGAGTCACATCACATTTGCCTCGGGAGCAAAAGCCAGAAGACAAGAGGTCACCTCCCTGGTGAGAGGGAAATTCTCTCAAGGATGGTGGAAAGGGAAAAGTGAAAGGCAGGACAGCCAACAGGGAGGGGAGAGGGAGGGGCTACAAAAACAAAACCTCACAACTTTACAATTTCACCTAGAGCGTCCCTGGCCCTTCAGCCAGCTGAACTGGCTGTGCAAGGGTGCAGGCTGGGCCAAAGGAAGGGGATGGTGGACTCTCTGTGGACTCACAAAGAACTTTCTCTCATACCAACCTGTCAAAGGAAGAAGTGGTCGAGCTTGGCAAATCCTAACACAGATTAGATCCGGACGGTAATACCTACAACCCCTCTTTTTTTTGTTTGTCTGTTTTTTGTGGGGGTTTTTTGCGGTACGCAGGCCTCTCACTGCCGTGGCCTCTCCCGTTGCGGAGCACAGGCTCCGGACGCGCAGGCTCAGCGGCCATGGCTCACGGGCCCAGCTGCTCCGCGGCATGTGGGATCTTCCTGGACCGGGGCACGAACCCGCGTCCCCTGCATCGGCAGGCGGACTCTCAACCACTGCGCCACCAGCGAAGCCCTACAACCCCTCTTTTAAACACAGACGCTGACAGTCTCTCCTGACCAAACTCTACTCGGGCTCTTCTGAGCAAGTTTCAACTAGGCCCCAACCTTTGGACTTCGGTGTTCCTCTCTGCATTGTCCAACCAGCGAGAATCCTCCCCGGCGCCATCCCCCAGGTGACATCCGATCACCCTGGCCTGCCTTCAGCAAGGATCCACCCCCATCCGCACCCCTGACGTTTCCTCTTAGTAACTTCCCGTCTACTGACCCCGCATACCCCGCTGCCTTTCCATGCATTTGGAGGTAAGTCCAATCTGTCTCTGCCGCTGCAGAACCCCTTTGCATGGAGAGCCGAGGAAAGCCCCACACGTGGCAAGTGAGTGAGAGGTCTTCCCCGGCGAGAAGGGGTGGCACGAAAGTGGGGTCTGAGGCACTGCAGGCTCTGGCCTAGGTCTTGCAGAAGACAGACCAGTGGGGTGTGGTACCAGAGACACAGTCCACAGAGGCTTGAAGTACAATGCATACGTCTTCCTCACAAGGCCTGGGGTGGTGCTGGGAGACACTCACGATGGCGTTGTCCTCCTTTTTACTCTTCCTCCTGCCAAAACCTCTAAACGGTTTGTGGGCTAGGAGCTCCTTTCAAATATATCATGGTCAGTGTCCTGACAAATAGATCAGGGCAGAACTCTCAGGCACGGTGAGTTTCTCTGCACAAGGCTGGAACCAAAGAAGTGAGACGCCCCGATGAGTGACCCCTGACCTCCCTGTCACTAGTGGGGTTTTTTGAAGGGACCAGGGGTGGGGAAAGGAGCCACGCTACTTGAAACATTTCATAAAAACTTACCTTTCACTATGTCTCAGTGGGAAAAACAGTAAATCCGCTAAAAATTCCATAATTTCTCCAACTAGGATGTTTTTCTCACCAAACTTCTCCTGATATTTAAGCATTCTTGAAATTTCATCTTTGCAAGAGAAGCGTTTCCGGCAGCAGATCTGAAAATAAAATGCATGTGCGTGACTTACTGGGCACGATACATATGTTGGCTACCTTCATTGTGCCACCAAAAATAATGCTCATAAACGTCCTTTATTCTATACAGGATGACACAAAACAGCAGAGCAGTTTATATTAGCAGGGACTTGAGACTTTCAAAGTGATCGATAAGACGTGTGTACTTCTTTATAAGAAACCAGGGCGCCGCTCTCAACCACAGCTCTATGGACATCTGGGGCCGGAGAGTTTGTTGCGGAGGGTCCTGTATAATGTTTGCCACCTCCCCTGGCCTGTACCCACTAGTTGCCAATAACGACACCCGCAGTCGTGACAAGCTAACGCGTCTCCAGACATTGCCAAAGGCCCCATAGGGCGCAAGCCTGCCCCTGGGTTGAGAGCCACTGAATCAGAGGATGGAAACGTTACAATTCATCCTTTCTTAACCCAATCAGTTAGTTGGGAAATGTATTAGCGAGGATGGGTTAAGTATATTAATCATAACCGTAACAGCTAGTACAGAAAATAAAACATTTTCAAGCAAAAACACACATTTACATCAGAACACCTTCAGTGTATTTCATGGTAGCCTGGCCACAGGTGTTGCTGTCCAGTAAGCTGGACATTCCAGTAGCACATTGCAGAATATGATTTTCTTTTAAGTACTCCTTAGATGCTGACTTTGCCAGGTTGTTCAGCACTCTGCCTGCAGGGAATAAATTTTGGCAAAGAAGATGATGCTCAAGGCTTTTTTTCCACAGAAGAGTTAAGATGTCACTAGGCAGGTCATTTAATATCATTTCTTCCTCGCTGCCAACAGCTGGGTTTTTTCTTAATTAATCAATTACTGGCCTACATTGCATGGAGTTGGTTTTTCTATAACGAATTTGTGTGTGTGCAGAAGTTATAGGGCTGAAGAGCTGAGGCAATAGACTGAAACCAAATCCAAGTCTGTTTTGCAAATGAACAGGTCAGAAACAGAGTGAGAATACGGATGTAGTGAAACCAGCCATCACCATGGTAACCAAGTCCTAGAGAAGGCAAGCCGGTACAGCCTTGCAATAAGAAACAATAAAATGGTACAGCCTTACAACAAGAAACACGTGGATAAGCCCCATGAGCCTAATTAATAAGTAATGGGCTGTACCTAGATACACACTGCCTTGGGAATGTACCCTTTGCAAAGGCCTAAATTTTGCTAGTTATTGAAAGTTAGATATTCTAACAATAATAGACTTCTAAAAAGTAGACAGTTTTATGGTTTTCTAAGCCATACTTTCTTACGGAAAGAGATAAAAACCATAATCATATTTCAAGAAGGTGTTACTAGAGCATTGCTAGCAGTAAACAAAGCAGATTTAACTCCCTGTGCTAAGGAATTTAGTATTAATTATAAAGGATTACCATTAAATTATCACAAAGCATCTTTCCCATCATCAGTAGTACCCCATTCATTGCCCAGTGCCCACTCCAGGGCCTCAGGCCTTGCATCTGCACACCAGGGAGGGACAGCCATGTACCTGGTCTCCCTACGTCCATTCTCCATACAGCAGCAAACGTGACCTCAGAACAGAAATCAGGCGATGTCATCCCCAGCCTAACTCCTGCAAGGCTTTCCCTCGCACTGATAATAAAATCCAAATGTTTCCTGGGGCCCGAGGCCCTGAAGGATGTGAGCCCAGATGCCTCCTGTCCTTTGTTCACAAAGGCTTCTTTTTTTTTTTTTAATTTTCTTATTTAAGTATAGCTGATTTACAATGTTGTATTAGTTTCTGGTATACAGCAAAGTGATTCAATTATTTATATATATATATATATATATATATACACATGTGTGTACTTTTTCAGATTCCTTTCCATTATATGTTGTTACAAGACAGTGAATATAGTTCCTTGTGCCACACACACAGCAGGTCACAAAGGCCTCTTTTCATTGCTAGGACAAGCCGAGCCCTCTCCCACCTCAGGGCTCTGCACACGATGTTCCCTCTGCCACGAATGCCCCCATCCCCACCACATGTGGCTCCTGCAGTCTGTCACGTCTCAGCTTCAATGTCCCCTCCTGGAGATGCCCCTTGACCACCCTTTCACAGGTGGTCCCTCCCCCTGCTTATGCTCTACCTCCATCTCTTGTTCGTGTCTCTCACTGCATTTAGTACAGCCTGTAATTACTGCATGTGTCCGCTCCCTTGTGTGTCATGTGTCACCTCCTTTCGGAGGCAGCATTGGTGACTCTGTCCTGTTCAAGCTGCTGGACTCAACACAGTGTCTGGTGCACGACAGGTGCTCAGTAAAGAGTTTTTAAATGTGTGAGCCCTGGTCAGGCTGGAATCCCTCCCCTCCCCCTTTATCTGCTTGCCTAGACCCTGAATCCCCACCTGACCCTCGTCAAGAGACCGGAAGTACAGTGCACTCCCATCAAAGCTGCTGCTAGGGCTTCCCTGGTGGCACAGTGGTTGAGAGTCCGCCTACCAATGCAGGGGACGCGGGTTCGTGCCCCGGTCCGGGAAGATCCCACATGCCGCGGGGCGGCTGGGCCCGTGAGCCATGGCCGCTGAGCCTGTGCATCCGGAGCCTGTGCTCCGCAACGGGAGAGGCCACAACAATGAGAGGCCCGCGTACCGCAAAAAAAAAAAAAAAAAAAAAGCTGCTGCTAATGACACTGATCTACCTCTGAGCATCCCTGTTCACCAGGAGCCGGCCCCACCTGCTGTTTTCACCCCCTTGGAGAACCACGCTTGTCTATACCAGGCCAAGGTCTGCCGAAATCCTTGGAACTCTGTGCTTTGGACAGCCCGGCTGGCTCTAGAAGGCCAGTCCCAGAACCCACAGAAGTGTCCCTGGTTCCCACACTGGTTTCCTCTGCTCACCAAGGCCCCAGCATGTCCATGACCAGCCCTGCCTACATGAGGATGACTTAGAAGCTAGCCTCTATGTATGGAGGATAGAGCTTTATAAATGCCAGCGCTAGAAGAGATGCCACATAGCAAGGAGTAATGCTGTCAGGCTTTAGGGTCAGATAGGCCTAGCTTGGACCCCCAGCTCCAGAGGTGCTAGCTGTGGGAGCTGACGTAGTTGATTTCATCTCTCTGACCTTCAGTTTCTTCATCTGTAAAGTGGGGTAACAATACATACCACGTGAGGTATATTTGAAGGTAAAAGAGCTTGTGAGCATAAAGTGCCTTGTACATTGTAAGCATGAAACGAATGATAACTGTTACCATAAAAGTGGATTTACAGGTGAAATGCAGAGAGGGTAAGTAGCTTGCCCAAGGTGACCTTTGATCTTACAGTAGCCTGTAAAAACAGCTGTGATTCTCCATGCCAACCTGTACCCAACTCCCCTTTGCAATGCCACTCTGCACCAGAGTCTCTTTCTCTGCCATGGAATAAAGCCTGATGACTTGCTGTGACCAATCGAATGCAGCAGAGGGGGTGTCATGCCAGTTCTGAGCCTAGGCGTAAACCTGTGCTCTCCCTCTCGGAATTGTGCAACCACTGGGTGAGCAGGCCTGGGCTGTCTTCCTGAAGGATGAGGAACACGTGACCCGAACCCTGTCACCCAGCCAGACAACCACCGGACATCTGAGTGAAGTCCTCTGAGACCAGCCAGCCCCACTGGCCCTGCCAGCGGATCACAGATGTTTGCATGAGCCCAGCCCAGATCTGCTGAGCCTACCCTGGACCAGGGGGATCCCCTTGGTGGCCTATAGACATGGGCAGTAATAAGTGGCTGTTGGTTTTATTTTACTTTATTTTATTTTATTTTTTTTGCCTGCGATTGAGTATTTATTCTAAACCAGGTATTCTACATCCATTTTTTTTTTTTGCTCCTTGCAACAATAATATGAGGTGAAAACCATTAGCATTTTAGAGTTAAGGAAACAAACCGAGGTACAGGGAGTGTCATTATGTTGCCATGGGTCATGACCATGCAAATAGTAAGTGGTAGAGACCCAGGTCTCTCTGTCCTAAAGACTGAGCTCTACACACCCATGAGGTAACCTGTCATAGAAAAGTTCCTTCATATTCATATTCATCTGTATAGTGCAGCCGTTGGACTAGATGATCTTTTGCTTATAGTTCAAAAAGAGTAGGACTGTAGCTCAGAAAGAGTATGATTCTTTGTTGGCTGTTGGTTTATAATCTGTTGAGTTTTGGGGTGCTTTCTTATACAACATAAGATAATTGACACAGCCATTTAAATATGACATAATTCTAGACATTATGTTTAGTCTGAGTGTAAATCAGTGAGTAAAAATGCTTAGTATCTGCATTCACCGAACGTTCTTTGTTCCATTAGTGGTGCCACAGCAGTGTCGGGCATCAAATACTGGAGAATAAATAAACGAGCTACCATGAAGGAGTACTTAACTATGTGTCAGGCACCATCCTGTGTGCTTTACGGTCTCCCTTGAACGCTTTTAGTCTCACAACGACCATGCAACGTAGGTGCCGTTTTTATTCCTATATTTTTACAAATATGACAACTGTGGCCCAGAAAGGCTAAGTCTTGTGTCTAAAAGCAAAGAGCCAAAAAAATAATAATTAAATTAAAGTTAAAATAATTAATACATAAGTAAATAACTTTTTTAAATAAATAAAAAGCAAAGAACCAGTAAGTGGAGAGGTGGGATTTGAACCAGAAAGGCTGGCTTCACAGTCAAGCTCTGAGTGGCCCTCTTACTACTCAAAGCAGTGTGAGGTACATCACAACAGCCTTCAACATTCTAAAAGGGTGGTTGGTCACAAGAGGAGCGCTCATGCTCAACCCTCACACGCCCAGCAGCCCAACAAAAAATCAAGCAAGCAAAGCACACACACCCATTCCCCTTTCTTCACAGGTGAGAAGAGCCCAGGAGTCTGACTCTGAACCACAAGAGTTTATGCCCTCTGCACGTGCCCACCCTACCTTTTTGCTTCACTAAGTCCTGGTTGTCTTTTAAGTTGCTGGATGAAAATTCCATCAGGTTGGACCCCGCTTCCTGGAAATACCAGAAGC